GGTTACTAGTGCAAGGCCAGAAAAAAAACTAAAATAATGTCCACTGAACACAAATCAAGACATCGTCAGGGGTCAAGTGTCTTTAATTTTCTATTACAATAAAAAGTTTTGTAATTTTTGAGTCATCCCTCATTTATATTTCAGGATTTCTAGTTAAAAAATAGCTCTTCTCATTTAAAATATGGTCGCCTTAAAAAAATCTAATTTCTAAAGAGTCCCGTAGATTTTACAGTAGACATGCAAATAATGAACGTAGGTACGGGATGTTGGTATATTGTTTTTATTACATTTTTGTTATTGGATGGATAGATTTAGATTTATTTCAAACATGTAACTGTAGGTGTGTGTGTGTGTGTGTGTACAAACATTGTGGACTTCTATGAGAAATAATCAGCAGTTCTACATTCCAAAAGCTCTCTTGTTCCTTCAGAAGGAACGATTTCTTTTCCTTGTGTTGTTATAAATGGTCGATCCGTTCCTATTGTCATATCTCAGGGTCTGTACTGTATCTCGGTGAACTGTATGGATAATGCGGAGGCCCAGTTTACCACAGCCTTGCGGGTGAGTACGTGATGAATGAATCTCTCCTCAGATGATGTCAGTAGTTTGTTCTTCCCTCCGGTTCACTCGCCTTGCTTCTTCTCTCTTCCTCTACTCTGCGGTAGCCGCTCTCTCCTCTTATGTCAAAGATGTCGTTGTGTTTCAGCTCACCACACACCAGGAACTGTGGACATACATCGTAACCAACTTGGCCAGTGTCTACATAAGGGAGGGGAACCGACACCAGGAGGTCAGTGAAGTAATAACGGGTCACTTCTTTAAACTACAAAAATGTACTGCGACTTCTACAAAGAAGTGGTTAGTATTCATGACCTCATGTTTGTGATGTAGAAACAGTTTTCTCATTACATAGTTTGTCCACCAGAGATCGCTGATGAGTACATTTTTCACCTCTAAAATGTTCTATTCAGCACAATACTATGAAGTGATCCATGTCTTCTTTAGTCGGTGGATTATAATTTTAGTCTTATTTTGGAAATAAAGGAAACATGAGTTTCTTTTAATAATGACTAATACCCAACCAACTCTGGTTCATTGCTTGCTTAGTACAGTTATCAAATTTGAATTTGCCACATCGGTGCTGATGGTGCAGGATGACAATCGTCAGAACTGTCCAATCAATCATGTTTACTCCTCTTGGTTTGTGTAACGTCAGTGTGAACACCCTTAAATGTATTTCCTGTTTCTCTTCTTCAGTTGTACAGCCTCCTAGAGAGAATAAACCCAGACCATAACTTCCCAGTAGGGTAAGAGGAATAAGGTTTTTACAGTTTGTGTGTATACTTGTATATAACGCAGCACAATACATTGAATCAATGCATTTTGTTTAAACTGGTTCAGATGATTAAATATACAACCGGGGTCTTTGTTTTGGGATCCAGCTCTCACTGCCTCCGTGCTGCAGCCTTCTACATCAGAGGACTCCTGTCCTTCTTTCAAGGACGCTACAACGAGGCCAAGTATGTCGGATCTTAAATGGCTAAATGCAGTCACGCCTACACATCCGCCCTGCGTCTGTACATATTCATATAAATGCACATCTTGTTGTCCTGCAGACGCTTCCTGAGGGAAACCCTGAAGATGTCTAATGCTGAGGATCTGAACAGACTGACTGCCTGCTCCCTGGTTCTGCTGGGACACATCTTCTACGTGCTGGGCAACCATAGAGTAAGACCAACGGGTGCATGACAGACTAGCCGAATGCTCACACAAACTTTGATTGGTGTTGGAACAACTAGGTCACCCGACCAGAACCTTTCTGTCTTTTCTTTACCTGAATCGAGATAAGAAAACCCTGTTCTAATGTTCCGGTTCTTGTTCACCCCAACAATGTTCCATGAGCAGCTCGGGCTTCATTTGTCAAACAGTTTATACGTTTTGCAAAAATTTATTTGGTTTACAAAACTCTGCGCAAACAATTTCTACAATAAATCCCAATGAACTTGAAGATATTTTTCTGATTCCGTGCCTCATGTCCTGCTTTATTAGATCCTACAATCAACCTTAAATTAACTTTAATGTGGCGTCTGATCGTGAGTACAGATATGCACATAAATCGGCTCGTTCTTTAGCAGCAGTAAATGAAGCCAGCTCAGGTTAGCTGACTCGTCGAGACATTCAGACGTTCACAGTTGAACAACAAAACAAATTATTTTTTCTACAGTAGCTAATTTGAAGCCACAATTTAAAATTATTTATAATTTTCTGTGCATGAATTATTAATTGGGGGGGACAGGCAAAGGTTTTATGCTCATGAGTGATCCAAAATGCCCCTTGCTCTGTCTGATGCGATGGCATTCACACACAAGTCACATACAAGCCTTTTAATGCCCACGGGAAAGGCTAATTTGCATAGCAGCCATTTTGGCATGTCATTGCATTGTAAACACAGGTGTAATTAATCAAATGAATTATGGTCTTATTCTATTGAGTGTTTGACAGACATTCCAGTGAGCCAGCATGCACAATACCAGGCCCTGGGCCATAATTAATGTTATTATTTACACCTGTGGTGACCCTTCAATGACAGGTCAAAATGGCCGCCGTGACAGGGGGCCTATTTATAAATGAGGATCCTCGTCTCGTGGCTTCCATCCATCTTGATTTCTAAAAAAAAAAAAAAAAGTTCCTCTTTTGTCTTTTAGGAAAGCAACAACATGGTGGTACCTGCCATGCAGCTGGCCAGCAAGATCCCCGACATGTCTGTTCAGCTCTGGTCTTCGGCACTGTTGAAAGGTACATAATTACATTTTCCCCTTTATAAAGTCCATAAGTTATGTTGTTAGATTTTTCTACTTATTACACGGGCTTCACAGCGCTTTTAATACCTGACTCTTCCGTCACAAAGCTGTGGTTGAGTGACTGAATGCTGTGCTTGCAGACTTGAACAAGGCCCTCGGGAACACCATGGATGCCCATGAAGCGGCCCAGATGCACCAGAACTTCTCCCAGCAGCTGCTGCAGGACCACATCGCCGCCTGCAGCCTCCCCGAGCATAACCTCATCAGTGTACGTGAAACGGATTAACGTGGTCCTGAACGTTCACGTCATTACTCTTCATCAGCACTTTTTAATACCGATATCAAAAAATGTAATTCCGATACCACCACGATACTTTTTCTGATACTTTGTGTGAATGAAAACCTCACAGCCGAATTAGTAGAACTATGTTCAGCTCATTTCTCTCCTATATGTAAAATGTATTGTTATGTGAACATTCTCTTTTCTTGAAATGACAGTTCATTGTGTAAACAAAGGTTTTAGTTGGTTGTAAAAGCGACACGTTTGCAAAATCAAAAATAACTCACTTAAACACTCATTCTGCCACAACACCAACTTCTGTTCTCAAATGTAACACTTTATGGTTTCTTTACATGTTTATCAGTCACTTTTTGAGGACCTCATTAACCTCTCTTCACATCGGCATAATTACATCCACAGCACTTACGAAAACACGTCACTTTTAAAGCAGGTTGCTGAGAAGCATTGTAGCACTTTAAAAGGCTACTTTCTTTTTAAAGGAGTCTGGCGCAGTGCTCACTCCACATGAAGTGCACGGGGGGGCTTCACTAAATGACTTCCAGCAGACATAACGGAGAACAACGAGGGCAAAACAGCTTCATGTTCTCCGGTGTAGCTCAGCTAAAAACACAGACTCCGTCAGCACGTTGGTGTGTTGTTGACTCCCGAGCCTGTTTGTAAACGGCTCTGACAAAGATTAACACGAGAGCAGAAGATATAAATGATTGTGTGACATTTTAGCAGCGGCACACGAATATATGAGAAGCACTGTTTTTGGATCACATGTTGAAACATTTCTGATTTCGCTTGTAGTGGAAGGCAGGTCTTCTCTTCACTTGTTTCCATTTCCTGCATCTACGTTTTGCGGTGCTGAGATTTATTTTTCTTTCTGTCTGTTTCTTTATTTCAGTGGACCGATGGCCCTCCTCCTGTCCAGATCCAAGCCCAGAACGGCCCGACCACCAGCCTTGCAAGCCTGCTATGAGAAAACCCGTCGGTCTCGCCCCCGCGGCGGAAGCTGGTATATTATCACGAGCGACAGACGCCTAACAAACTGCTATCGGACCGCTGTAGCTGAGATTTGAGAGGATTTTAACAGGTCACAGAGTTCAGGCCTTCACTTTATTAGTTTCTCAAGATTGCTTCCTGATTGTCTATCACTTCTTTAATTGTTGTAAAGCAATTACAACTACTGTCGTGCATGTATTTCACACTTTCTGATGGCATGGATGCAGGGCAGGGTCTTGACTCTGGATGAGAGTAGAGAAGGACACATAGCGACGTATAAATGGGCTTCTTTGCCTCGGATAAAGCGAACCGTTCTCTACGGTCGCCAGGCTTCTCTTCCATTTGTTGGAGAAAAAAAGGAGGGGCTAGATAAAGGGGAGGGCAGTAAAGAAATGTAGAAGAAATTAATTTATTCATGTCGATATTTTTGTATGTTGGTAAATATTTTACATCTTGCCTTTTTTGTATGGATCCTGTTTTTTGTTTTTTGTTTTTTTTGTCATGCATGGAGGTTACTGATGAGGACTCCCTGTACAATAGTTTGGGGTTGGTAACAATAAGTTCTTGGTCGATCATTTTTTTGCACAAAATCCATATTCGAAAGAATAGAGTCATCTTGTAATATATTTTCACACATTAATCAGTTGAAAAATGTCACGATACAAATTGGCAGCGAACATTGTATTGGGTGAGTTCGCCTGTGGACCGAAATACTTCTCTGTTGGGTCTGTTGGAGAGCGGTGTTTAAATACTTGTGAGTTTTATATCATTTGGTGGCTGCCAGGTTTGCCACGTACCCTTTTAGAAGCAACACAACTGATGTATTTTTCCATAATATACGAATTCCCTGCCGATGTATTCATTTTTACAAATCAGTTTTGGAGCTTACGGTAATCTTCAGATATTCAAAAAAGCAAATTTATTTTATTTTGTTATATTTTCATTTGTCTCGATAGTTCTACTAAAAGGTTTCTTTACAGTATGTTTGTATAGATTTGCCACTCGTTGAACCTTTATTGTACAGTGACATTTTATAAAGGCGATTTAGTAAAGTGTGAAATGTATTTTTAGCTATCCTGTGTAGAAATCTCAATGCTTGGTATTTAAGGCACTCTGTAAGGACACAGTTTAAGCTTGAGTACTAGCCATATTCTATCCAATGCCTATGTTTTTAATGCTTACATTGTTTTCAATAATTTTCCAATAAAAATATGATTGAAAAAATTGTAGTTTACTGATTTAAATATCGAGGTTGTTGACGTTTTTTAAGCAAATCCATTGTACAGCAATACAGTGTTAGTGGCGATCATATGTTTTAAGTTACCTGTAGGTGGTGCTAGAGTTTTTTAATGCGTTAACATGGATGCAGTTGTACTGTTAACATCCTTTCTTCTAGACAAAGTATACACAAATCTTAATTTTAGGGCAAAATGCTGAAGTGTGTGTATTTCACTTTATGTATTTTAGCTACGAACACAACCTGGTATTCCTAGGAGAAACATTTGCATGCTACGTAAACACTACGTCCCTAGAAGGTACCACATCACTTCCCTGCCTCAAACCCCGACCTCCACCAGCCAGGTGGTACACTGCAATTCAGAGGTGATTATTAGCGAGGCAGTCTGAGCAGATCTGCAATTAGCCAGGAAACACTGTGGGGGGCTCTCGGCTAGCGAGGATAACCACAGGAATTCCCACACCAGCACCAGATCCCAAGCCAGAAGTGTCCCTACATGGTGAGCTAATTATGTGGTCTGGAGATGTCACATGATGCGCCCGTGTGTCTGAGTGTACTTCAGGGGCAAACTGACCAGGTAGCCCCAGAGGACAACAATGTACCTCAGAGACGGATAGTGTCTCTCAGTCTAGTTTAGCACTGGACTCTTAACAGCAAAAGTAGTATTTATAGTATCCATTGATCCTGAAGCTGCTACAGGGTCCTCTGGGGTCGCAGAAAGATCCACGGAAATGTCCACTTTGCAACCAATAGTTCTGTTCTGCCTCAACTTCCATCCCATGTACAATGCAGAACCTCAAGATATATAAAGTATTGCATTATGAAAAGTACACATATGCCATATGCCATATAACATACTATCATGGTAATAAACTATATGAATAATGCAAAATGTAAGTTGACAGAGGATTATATGGGTTTTAAAGCACCTAGATAAAGGAACTCACATAGGTGTGACTGACTATGTGATAAGTCATAGAAAGTAAAACTTCTACAAGAATATAAGGGTCAAATTTGAATGTTTGCCTATGTTTCCATATCATGAGTTGCGGTGTCATCGTAAAGACTGTAAGAAGTGTAAGTTTGGATAAGCTAAACAAGCCTAGCTACAATTCTTCAGCAAGAAATGTTCTTATTATTTTAATTCTTTATTTCATGTTCTTGGAGTAGGCCGAGCAGCACACAGAGGAACTGTGAAGTTTCTGTCACAAGCAAGCACGTCATCGTTACACAAGCCTGTAATAAGATCCAACCAAAGTTAATGAGTAGCCTACAATAATAGCTTCTAATCATACAATTAAACTGTGGTGTTTATTTACCTGTTTAGGCTACTCTTTAAATGTGAGCCACGCAGGAGTTTAGGTTCCCATTTCACTAGTTGTCCTCTCCCTGTTTTTACTATGTTATATATATATATATAGATAGATAGATAGATAGATAGATAGATACTTTATTTATCCTGCAATACATACAATGAAATAGAATAATATTAAATTAACTAACTAAACAGATAACCAACAACAAACAGACTTCTTTATTATAATAATAATAAATACATATTATAATAATAATCAAACAGTAAAGAATATTAAATATGAAAATAAGTAAAAAAGTAAAAAATCCACAATAACTAAAATATTATATATACAGACAGAATGATTGTTGTGTTGCAATATTATACATACAGACAGAGTAATTGTAGTATTTGGGTTTCCAGTCACTAGTTGTCTTCTCCTTGTGTTTTTTTTTACTGTGTTTATAGTTATTCCGTCTACTTCCAAACGCAGCATTTTACCTCCTTTTCTCAGCAGTTGGAAACTTAACATTTCCGAGGTGTGTATGAACGCAGCATGACGCCGCCTGTGGTGGCTCATTACATGATCAACCGGAGTGGCAGCAGGACAGAAGAGGGGATCCCCGGGAGTTTTTACACCGAAGCCAGCGCAACACTAACATCAAAACATCTGAAAATCGCAGGGGGGGGGAAACTCGGTCAAGCTCCTCCTAGACTTCGTAAGTTAACGCATCACATTATCGCATCAACTAATCCAAAATTAAAAAATTCAATTAAATTATTACGACGGAAGTGAAGTTTCTCTATCTGCGTTAGCCACGGCTAAGTTGAGCTAGCTTAGCTTAGCTTTAGCTGAACGTGCTAAGGTAACAGTTCGTGTGTGTCGCTCGGCTCCACGCACACACCTACAAAAGTCGAGAAATATTTAAACAAACTTCCCCGGCAAAACTTGTATTGGGATGCACAACTAGTACGATATCAATGTAAGTTATTATTTATGTTTACCCGTAACTAAGCTACAAAGCTGTGTGACAAAACGGTAATTTCTCTGTGTGTAATCAACGCTTGATTATTTGTGAATAAATTTAGCGAGTGTCCAGAGGGAGTTAGCGTTAGCTAGCTAACTTAGCTCGCTAGCTAGCCTTGCTAACACTAGCAGCTCACTGAGAGATGGGGTCGGTTTCATTGTCTGTCGTGTATCGCTATTTGGTCATCGAAGCTAAATATCACAATACCCAGGCTCGCATGTAAAGGGACAATATATACTCCAGTGCTTCAGTGACTTTACTTTAATATCTTACAACCACAATAGGCTGTTAGCTTTGCGTGAGTTAGCCATCGTTTTGTAGCCGGACAGATGGACAGGTTGTTGTTGGGCAAGCCAAGTTAACGTTAGCATGAGATAGCTTGTTGTTGTTGATGATGGGTTAGTTGAAAATTAAGAGGGCTATTATTTGGGGTTGCAAAGTTGAGGTGCACGAAAGTTCGTAAACATTACAAACCAGTATCATCACCGGTTATTGCTAAGCCGACTGGTCTTAGCCGTGGATGGCTATGATTATGGCTTCATGAGCCATTGATCTCAGAACTTTGTCAGATTAGCTCAACAGTGAAAAGCCTTTTTATGGAGGCGTAATGGTGGACGGTGGTGCCTCCGTCTGGGTGTGTGTCTGTCTGTCTGTCTGTCCACGCCAGACTACAGACAAACAAACGCCTACTTTGCACCATAATACTAATGTTTGTGTAACTGATATCACATTTCACCACTTTATGAATGTAAATGAGGTGTTTTGTGCTGACGTCTAAGGGCAAGCTCTATGCCCACTTTACCGTTCATTTCCGGTTGAAGTCCAGCATTTAAAGGCACTCATGTGACATAATAATGTCATGTTAATTGTGAGATATATCTGAATTATTATGTCTTGTAATGACTGTTGGGGCTCATTTGTTTTTTAAGGCAGGCACAGCATCTACAGCGAGCTAGCTATGAATCTTGGGTCATGTTGTTGAGTGGTCGGTTCAAGTCAGTTTCACATTCACCTGTCTTTGAGATGTGTTTAGGATGACATACATCAGTGTGTATATCCCTACGTCTGCTAAACAAGTGTCCTCTTTTTTTTTAGGGCAAGTAGACAGTTGGCACCCTTGGCTAGTGATGGGGGACACATGTCGCATTGCATTTTATGATGGGCCTTGGCTTGGCCCGAGGAGGGGTGCCTCTTATGAAAAACCTTACTGCGAGTGATGCAACTGGACGGGCATAACTCGAGATCCTCTCTTTATTCTGCTGTATCAAGACTGAAACGTTTTGATAACACATCTGTATTTTCCATCTCCCACTAGGTTTTTGTTTTATATTCTAATAATAAACCACAGTAACTACGCCTAATACTGCTGCTACCTGCAGGGTAGTATGGCATAGCTCATATTGTTTCCATCCAAGTCTGTCTGTGGTGTTATCATAATAGTATCTGTGTAGCTCACTGTAGGACACGCTTTAAACACAGCAGGTAGGGTCTGGTCGAGTGTGAGCTCAGCCACTGTGAAAATGTTAACAGGAAATGCTGGGGCAACCACGAAGTCTCTCTAAAATCGACCAGCTATCGTGGATGATAGTCGAGGGGCCATTGTTGTACTTTAGTTTTTATGATCCGGATTGAGCTGTAGTGATGTCCTCATGAAAATAATGACTGTAGGATTCTTCACTTGTTGTAAATCAAAAAAGATTCAAAAGTAAAAGATGCTGCTGCAAGTGATAAATGACCCCTGGTCTTGTAGGGGGTAGTGTAGTTTTGCTTTCATTTTTTCATTCAGTTGTGTTACATACCGAATGCTACACTGAGCTAAGTTCATCACACTATTTTGAATTACTCACTTTTCCTAAAGGTAGGAAAGTGACAGGCATGCAAAGCTCAAGCACACAATTTAAACAAATATGAGAAAGGACTCAAGCGGATAGATAGAGAGACGTGGACATCATGAGAGAGAGAGAGAGAGAGAGGGAGAATCGAATCGAATCCTTTGGAGGATAAAGATCCAGATCCAAAACATCTGGAATGAGGCATAGACAGCCAGGGGAGGGAGAGCGAGAAGTCCTAGGATTGCCAATGGTCCAGCACAGAGAAGCCTGGGTGAAAAGAGAGGACAAGGTGCAGGAAATAGAGAGAGGGAGAGAGGCATACAGCTTGAACGCTTGAGTGACAACAACAAACAGAGGGTTAGAGAGTTGCAGTGGCTTTCAGAAGGTTTACAGTGTTCTTGTCGACTGCTGACTTCTTTTGGACTTCGGGGACAGACGGTAGCCCTGTATAGTCTGATAGCATAGATCACAGGATGGAATAAGTGGGTTAGGGAGATCAGACCGGTACGAAGGGGCGTGCCCATTGACAACTTTCTATCTCGTCAGAAGTACCTTAAAGTCTGATGTGTTCCAACTCTACAGATCTGTGTAGTTATTTAGAGATCTGGATGTTTGAGAACTGCCTGTTGTGTCAGTTTCTCTGTTTGTTGGACAGGAGTAGTTCTGTCGGCCACGGGGTCCCACCCAAAGGCCTTGGGCGATTCATGGAGCTGGAGGAGAGCACTTCTCCAAGGTTTGGCTGAATGAACTCTTTCTTGTTTATCCTGTTGGACTTCATATTGACTCAAACGTGCGTGTTTACAGTGTGACCAACCTGTCTGAGACAGTGAGAGGTATGCTAACCACGTCAAATTTTAGGTTCACTACAAACAGCGTACTTTGAGTTAAAACCAGCTTATAGCCTCCACCCTACGCCCCTACTCGATACTTTTCAGCTCAACAGTAGCCCGTTTGTGTGGCCAATGCCCAACAAAATCCTGTCCCCTGGTTCAGACTGGACATGCATCAATGTAGAAGACTTCTGGTATTCTTTCAATATATAGCCACCTGTTGACCAGGTGGGCCATATGGCTAACAATGAATTGGCCCTTGAATAAATAGTAAGAAGTGGTATTTGTTGTCAAGAGACTGTTCTGCATACTTGTAGAGGTACAATTTTCAATCTGCCTGGAACAATTGCTTCCACTGTGTTGTCAGTGCAAACATGGCAACTCTCGGTGTAGCAAACAAGCAGACGGGCCACTTGGATCCATGCAACATCAAGGCATGTGTGTCCAAGAGGGGACAAACTGGCCGACTCTGTGACACGTGACTGTTTAGTGTGCATTGTGTATAGATGTCATGCCTGACCATAAAGTCATCAAAACAAGTGTTAACTACACTCACTTACCCAGTTTATCATTAGCAAAGTAATATGTTTCTTGAGTAGAAAGTGTGCAGCAGTAGATACAGAGCGTGTTTATAAAATCCCAGCTATAGACACTTTTACGTACGGAAGTATGGCGGAGTGCAATAGCTTGGCATGCTATGCAGGGGCGTGAACCACCAAAGATCTTGAGTGCATCCTAAACAAATTGACCTTCCAGATCTGTGCACGAACAAAACATGTACGTGTCCTCGTAAAAGTAGTCGATCCGTTTTAAATGCATACTGGCGCATTTGGCTGAAAGTCACCAGTTAACACGGTGCGTCATTGAACATAACATTTTGATGCTGGTAAAAGTTTGAATTCAACACTGAACACTTGCTAAGTCTTGTGCCAGGCTCGGACAAAACGTTGGTTTTTATTACCAACACGCACGCACATGTTTTTGATGATGTCGTTTGTAAAACGGTCTATTGTTGTGGGGTTAGACGGGGCCAGGACGAAGAATCGGGTGAAGTTTATAGTGAGATTATATAGAGATGAACAACGGTAAAAATAGTCCTGAAATGGTCTTTGTGCCAGAGTGCTGTGAAGTGTTGGACACACTGCATTGATTGTCTAACGCCACGTCGCTCTACATAGGAAAAAAATGACCTGATTATCATTCCCGAAGCACGCTGTCATTCCCACTGCCCCAAATCTGTTGGAGGAGCCCGTCATCAGGCTAATGTCACGTGGCCTTTTGGAGGAAAATGACTTTGGTTGCAAATTGTGTTTGATTTTTGGATCTTCATATTTTAAACCAGCAGGAGTCTCCTCAAGAGTTCCTGGGTATGATGTCACGTGTCATTGTTTTATACCGGGGGCGTTCGATTATTGTTTCTTGCCGTTTGTAAAGTAGATCCAACAGGTGAACGTTTGGGGCTTTAAAGTGATACGTGAGATCTGGAAGGTCACTGTAAAGAGTTTGTAGTTTCGCCGATGTGTCAAATTTGATAATGGAATTTTTAATGTGGTGGAATTGTGTTAATACACAGTCATGACATCACTGTTAGGTTTGTCAACAGACACTTAACGGCCACACCCAACGGTGGTTTTGGGTTTGGCCATAAAAAAGGCTGAACATCAGAGGCTGATGCGTAAATGTTCATGCCAGTCATGATGCTGGTAAAAACAGGCATGCTAATGTGTAAAGTGATCACCAGTTTGGCATTGATTATCATGAAAAAGAATACTTGTCTACCGACTGAATACACACTCTTCACTTTCTGTCTTTGTGTGTTTTGTGTATCTAGACGGCTGTGGTTAGCAGAAGGCTATTTTATTAGCAACATTTTCTCTCCATCTCTCTAATAGCTAAGCCTTCTGTGTGATCTCACGCTGCTTCGCCTGATATCGTAGCTCACTAGAGCCTCAAATCGCAGTCTGTCATCTCAAAGGGATTTACGGGCCTACAAGCAAAGAAAACTGGGCCGTCACTTTCATATAATTGGCTCTATATAAGGGCAATGGGATCACAGTCATGATCAAGATGATCTGAAATGAATGACTAGCATGAAGGATGATGAAACGTGTGCACGTGCTAGTGCTCGTCTTGTGGGAGGGGCTTATGACATAGGGGTGAGCTGTATTTTTAAATGTTGACTTTTTTTTTTCTTCCAGAAAAAAGCCTTCCCTGGCATAGCATTTGAATTTCAATATGCTGAAAGGTTATTGTGGAATTATTGCCCAATAACGCCAAAAATAGACCTGCCTACCCCAGCTATAATTTGCAGCTAGTTCATTTACAATTGCTACGAGTCTTGATGACTTTCCCCATATCTGGAGTCTTATGGATGTCTCCGCTACACAGAATGCTTTATTCTCTGCGTACTAACCATTACTGAAGAGGATCTCCTGAAAGTTATGATTGCCAACTGAACTCAAAAATATGTGGCAAGCGACACACATTAGCCAGTTGTGTTCTCCTTCACTCCTGATGTGCTCAGCTCCTCGTTGTCCTGTGGCGTTCACAGTATTACTTTGCACCCTTTAATCTCTTTTTTTTTTTTTTTTTTTTTTTTTTTTTTCTCTCTTCCTACTCTGGTCACTTCCTGCTACCATTCATTTGAGAAATGTAATCTGATAGCAGTGTGCTTGTGTCCTGGCCCTCCAGTCTGCATGTGGGTATGGCCTTCTGGTTTTATAGGATTATGGAGTAACCATTTGGAAGCAATTTGGCTGAAATTGGAGATTATCCCTGTCTAGGGTTTTTGAAAACATTTCACTCTTCCTTTTTATTATAGCAAGTAAACATCTGCAGTTGAAAACGTATCCATTGATTTTAGGCTGAACACTACTAGAGACGGTTGACTTGCGATTTCAATGTGCTTAACGTCGTAATCTAGACATTCTTCATGTTTTTTGATGGTCAGTAAATGATGTTCTGTTCAATTACTGGGAATACCACCGAAGGCTTTTATGCATTGCACATGTTTGTCTATGCGTGCGTGCCAAAATCCCAAAGATATGTGGGAATGACGTGTCCTTTTTTATTTGTGCGTTGGTTCTAAGGGTGGAAGGGTGGAATACCCAAACAGCTGTCTGCTACTCGCATGCGTGGAACAGTACAATTCTAGAGCTCGAGTTCACCGGAAATGTTTTGCCAGTGCACCAGTTGTTGACTATAAGCTGCCGATCGGCTATCATAGCGCTGTTGCATGCTAGTCAGATAGCGCAGTTAGTTTTAATTATCATCAGCCTTTAAATTTGACATTTGTGATTATATTTTTTTTATTTTTTTTTTCTTACTGACAGCATGCCAGAATTCGAGTGCCTGGCTGTTACTGATACAGTAAGAATTCTGGCCAATGAGCCATTGTTGAATGTTTAAAATAAAAAAGGTTTTCGTTAAAATTTGGCTTTCCCCGCCGCACCTATAACCGAACCGTGACCCCAAATCAAGTGACATACTGAACCCCGTGAGTTTTGTGTACCGCTCTGCTTCTAGTTGGTTCTCTATGTTGTAAGGCTTCGTTAACAAGTACATCGGTGTGTTCTTAAAAACATCCAGAGCCATATATACGTTTTAATGTGGCTGTATGGTCACGCATTCTTTGTGTGCTTGTGTACAAAAGCCTGGTTTGCACTTCCTGGACTTACTGCTGTTGTCGTTGTCACGTTGCTAAAGGAAGAATCCAGGTGGAGACATGCGCACACATACATACACTCTGTGTGGCCCGGGCTCTCTCGCTCACACGAACACACACACGAACACACACACACACAGAGGCAGCCTGGCAGATTCAGGGTTAAAGGCTTCCATTTTGTTAGGTAACACCCTAATGGTCTGATCTGTCAGTGGCGTTAAAATGGCAGGGGCTTAACCCTTGGCGTTCGGAACACAACCAGTAGGAGCGCGCACACACACACACACACTCTGGGCTGGCCGAGCCTACAACAGAACAACTGAGGAGGAGGAGGGGAGTGTGTGAGGCAGGGAGGGGTAGAGGGAAGGACGAAGGAGTGAGGGAGAGAGAGAGAAGACAAGGAAGAGTATTTTTCACTTGGGTACAGTTTGATTATGGCTCGGCTAACCACATGCGCTCTGCACCCTTCTCCCTCCCCCAACTATGGCACCACCTCAGCTGGGTCCCTGCCCCCACTCCTAGTGTGGTGAGCACAGATTAGCATAGGTAGTCCGATTTTTATTTTTCTTCTAATTAGGCGGTCCCAAAGGAAAAATAGCTTTGCTCTTTGATAGCCGGAGATTATTTTTGTAATTGAAAAACACATTTTATAAGTAGGGTAAGAGGTAATTAAGGCAGTAGAAGTAACCTTTATGGCGATGAGCAGTAAATAATCAGAAATTAAAAATAATCCTCGCTTCGTCATGTATTGATGAGAAAATTGGCAGTTTTGAGCTAATTCAATATTACAAGGGCCTGGTTCCTTCAGCCAAACAAGAAGAAGAAAAGAGTTGTCGCACTGCTGTCTTTTATTGGGCAATAATAATCCATACTTGTATTGCTTTTATTGGACAATATAATTGTTGTTTCCCCTCTCATTGAACCCTAAGGACACGGTTGAAAAGCCTCAGTATTTTTAAAATGGCTGTTAATGTGTTTGCTGGCTGGGTCCAGTCCCAGTGGGGAGATCATTACAGTGTTGGAGATGAGAGCCCTGCATGCTACCTCGAGGGGGATGATGAGCCTTTCGCCATTGATCTGCTCTGCCATTGATGAACTACAGGACACAATAGAATAAAACCTGTAGTGTCAGACGAGGTCACAAGATTTCCATTTGCTTTCAGGCAAGTGCATCTTATCCTGCTGCAACACACACCGGGTCGGGAGGTTTTCTGCATACACCTTATTTTAAGAAGCCTAATGTTTGCACATACAGCTCTTAAAGAGAAATGTATTAAGTGCATTGATTTTGAGCCGGCCTGCTTTGAGGCAGTTACTGTGTAGGAAATGAAACGGCTTGGTACAAACCTTTTCTTTTAGGTTAATTTGAATGGGCAGTAGAAACTCCATCTTTTGTTTTGATGTAAGATCTGCTCTGCTCTAAGGCCTTATTATTCTGAAGAAAACGAGAGGGACATGCATGTACTCCTCCTCCATGGTCTCCTGAGAGGAGCAGACACAGATCACTAATCACTGGCTGCCTTCTCCGACTCTCTTTCTCCTCCTCTCGCCATTTTCGTTGCTCTTGTAATGTGGCGATACATTTGCGTGTCAAAGTGATGTATCTTCGTGATGTGGCAACCAAAAATAGGGACAGCAAAACATGCGCCCCAAATAAATCCTTTTAAAACATTTGTTGCATTCGTGATATTTAAAAATCGGAACCAGGCGATGCTGCATGTCCTATAACCCTAACCCAGAAACATCACAAATGTGCAAATTTAACCAGATGAACCCAAACAAAGTATCATGCCATCTTTGAGCTGGATGGGAAAGCATGCACATACATATGACATCACAATTTCGTTATTAAGATGACGTATAACTGCATAGCATCTTAAATACTCAGAATATAAGATGACTTAAAAATGGCAACCAAAAACTGATGCCTGGTTTCCTGCTTGGCAACTACTTTTAAAAGTTCTTGAGTCCTGTGGGGAGAATGTTTGATCAATGTGTCGCCAGCACTATGCAGATGCTTTTGGTGATGTTTAGTTCAGCTTCTTTGAACTCGAGGTGCTTGAATTTCCTCCCAAAAAAACTGGAAGCACGCCATGCAGATAAGATGTGACGCACATACAAAATCAACAGTGAAATGATCACGTGTTCTTGCTTCGGGAACAGATCATTTATGAGCCTCGTGTCAAAATTAGTCAGCTTTTTTTAAATTCCCGTAATCTGAGCCTGGCCTCGAGTACATGGACCATGTGTATCGTGTAAATCAGAGAACTGTAACATGACGAGGCCGGCAGGCTTGAACGCTGTGAAAAGGATACCGGAGTGGACCTCTGATCAACTATTGTGGACGTTAATAGGGGGTTTGTTGAGTCCCAGGCAGCAAGGTTTTGGGCAGCAGTAGCTCCCGGTGGACTTCCTGATGGACAAGTCGGGCTTGTTTGTGAGATTGTAGTGTCAGTTTCATTTGGTTTGACACGCTAGATGGATGGATGGAGCTCTGGGAGCATTGGAACGGGCAGGAATGCTACTAGCAGTGATTTAAGGATCTCCTCTCAGCTGATTGCCTGGCCATAGAATACAATTTCCCGATGTCAAATTTCAATCGAAATTGGTTTATGCAAGCTTGAAGTGTGACTTCTCCCCCAGGTATGAGCCTAAGATCACTGCATGATCTTGAAGGCAAGTAGCTAAGAGACGAAAACACAGCCACTTCCGCATGACGAACGTGACGGCTACAGTAGCTAAGAAAATATCAATATGGCGTTGGGCACTGAATTTGATGAATTTACAGTTTTACAGACCCGAGAGTCTCGGATAACCTGGAGGTTGTGAATGACCTATCACACAACAGGGCTTCAGGGCTCTGTGATAGAAATCAAGGCTCTGAATAGAAAACGGGCTCCAGTGAGATGTGGTCCTTCACTAAAAAGGCCCAGTGAAACGAAGTGTGATGCAAGTTGCAACAATGAGAACGAGCACACACACACACACACATCCCCGGGTCAGTCTCCAGTGCGCGCACACACACAAACACACAACGCTCATAATCATCACGTATGCATCATGGACAACAATTTCATTTAGTTTTTTTTCCACCCGTGTTGCTTAGCAGCGGTGCATCCAGCACATGAATCATTGGGTTCGTGATGCTGTCCGTCTCTTCTGGGACAAAAGGAAGCCACGTGTCTCCGGACCTCCTGAAACTAGCAACCGCAGCTGTCCTGGTAACGCGCAGATCTGATCTCGCCTTGCGTCATCCCCGAGGGTTTGAGTCATTTTGTACCTGACACGGTTCACTGCCACACCGCTACAGCCCCAGTAACGTGTAGCAGCTTCTTCTTTTTCTGCAATCTTACAGAGTGAAGTGCGGTTTCTGATGCAGTGTGTGTGTCGTATATGCAGCCCACTGTCATCTCTGGCAGATAGATAGCCTTTGTGTCCAGGGATGGTACAGCAGGGCACATCTGTCCTTGTTGTGTACCAGAGGGGAGAGAGAGCGTTTTAGGCTCACTATGCAATGAATGTTTAGCTGTGTGGTTTCTTTATTATTTTTTATTTGTTTTGGTTGGGGTTAGCAGCATCTTTTTAGCTCAACATCTTGCACAGTGTCAAGGATGCCTGTGTCTTATCTCCAGTGGAAAATAAGAACTTGGCTGAATTCACAGATGTGGAGTGTAACTGTAATCTTACTGCAGACAGTGAGTTGTTGAAATTGCTGAAAAGCAGTTTCATTTTCCCCACCGTACTGTGCAGTTCTCTCGATGCTTTGCCTTATGGTCGACAGTAGTGGGAGTTTTTGTATACATTAGATTATGACCCTTGCTTTTTTAATCTTTAAGCCTTAAAAGAAGGCAGAGAAAACATCTTGAGATATGCGTTTAAAGAACATCATGACAAGACGTTTATGCCCGTCAGCAGCCGTTGACTGTTGATTGCAACAGAAGTTAGTCACGTCGGTGAGTAGACACGTTTTGGAATGTCCGAAGATGACGTTATCATCCCCCCCTCCCCCCTTGTGGGACGTGCCTGCGGTCTCCCCTCCCTCCCTCCCTTCAGCCACTCTGTCTCTCCAGGGGTTAAACCTGCGCCTTCTCTCAAACGGAGACCGGTCTGAACCGGTTTTCAGGGAAACGCTTTATGCCTCTCATGGAATCTTGGGATAAGGTCACGTGACGTGATGATGTCACGTGGGACGATGAAGACCTTGAGTCAGCGCTCTGAATCAGATGCACAGTATGGTGTACATTTGTTTCAGCCATGTTGGGCTGTCGTATCCGATGTTTCTGTGATAGACATGCGCTCATCCTCATGCAAAAATCTTTAACTTTTTTATAAACGCTTATTATAAAATGCTTATTCAAGACAGTCTGCATATCCTACATCGGGTAGCTTCTGTGCCATTTTTCTGCTGTGCAATATGTTTTCCCAGAAATCTAAGTGGTCTCTCTGTCCTCTGCTGTTACTGTACCGAGTGGGATTTGGGTCAGCATCTGGTGCGCTTGGTGGTGACATGTTCATGTATATGTACATGACTCAAACACAATACTTTTTTTATGAGGATTATTTCTGAGGTTACTTGCAGTAAATGGACTCACCAGCTAGGTTTGTTTTGTGAATCCAGTGAAACAAACACATTTCGGACGCCTTCATTTTTTTTTTTTTTTAAATAGTGGCACTGCTTCTATGTCATATTTTAAGGTTTGGTTGCGCAACCATAGTCCCTTGGTTTAATGTTATGGCAATGGGTGGAATACAATGTGATTTTAAAAGTACTTGAAATGGGAAGACGTGTATATTCACATAACGTAGGAGGGACTGATCGGGAGGGTTTTGTTTTAAGTTTCTGTCATTTTAAACCTATTAAATGACATCTTCACCTGTGTGATATTGTAAATATCTTTTAGCTTCCTTCCTCTGTAGCTTCCAACACAAATGCAGCCTCTCACTCACATTGAGGTTGGGATAAGATTCTGTACTCCTGCAATAGATGCCCCACGTTGTTTAATGCAGGCACTGAGGTCCTAATCTTACCTCAGCGAGAGTAACGGTTCACTTCACAAGTTGTATACGACTACTTATTTCTCACTGGACTGGTACTTATTAATGCTATCAGTTAAACAGTGAAAAGAAATATTACAAATTTGAAAAGGAAAGCTGGACTTTAAATGAGAAGGAGCGCCTTGTCATTTAAAGGAGAATAGCTCGTCCACCTTAACTGCCAGCCCACCTTAAGTCCAACTGAGTGGGACTTGTGGTTAACTTACACTTTAATCAGCAGATGGCTGGTATTCAAAACAGGGGAACTCTGTGTGGGTCTTGGGGACTTGTAGCATTTATTTACCTACAAATGGACTACTTCTATACCTACTTCTGACTTCTCGTCACACGCACTCTCTCCGGACCGAACCCTCGCTAGCGTCACGCCAAACTACAACCTCGCAGCTAAACTAAGTGATGCGGTGAAGACTTTATGTATTGGGGAAAGTGGCTGCATGTGTCCAAATTCCAAATTAGCATTACCTACTGTGATGATATTTACAAGTTTTCGTAAAGTATAACTAGATGGGGCACTCGATGTTCTGTATCTCATTTACTGCCTTCCAGAACTTTGCAATTGCACCACATTTACATATTACCATAGGGTTGTTATGAAAACACACTTTATTGGCTAAAGGCCAGAGGCGGTTCTACTTGGGAACTCTCAAAGCCTGTAGAAACCCAAACGGAAGTGTAAAGCAGAAAAAAGTAATATTCAGTTTCAGTGTTGCTCTGGTGAAAGCAGCACTTTCCCCTAAAGTAAAACTTCTACTTAAATTATGCTGTGTGTGTGTGTGTGTATGTATAGTCCAAACCGGTACCCTGCTGTCTAATTTGAATCCATGCATAGCCCCAAGATAGACTAATTTACTTGTTGTCAATGTTTGTGTCCTGTCTCTTTCTAATGTGTTTACACAGTGTGTAACTGTATCCAACCATCCTCTCTCTCTCTCTCCAGGGTGAGAGCAGCCATGTCAGAGGAGGCAGTGCGTCTAACGCGCAGCCAGAAGCGGGCTCTGGAGAAGGACCACGGAGCTCCCTCGGAGCCCCTGGACGACATGGACAGTAAACGGGTTAAGCTGGAGAAAGGCGACGCAGCAGAAGCTCCCCTGGACGTGGTGGAGTCTGGAGCCGAGGGCGTCAAGCTGAAGAGCGAGCACGCTGCGAAGGTAGCAGCCAGCATCCTAAAAAGCGGGGGGGAGGTGAAGGCCACCATCAAGGTGGAGGTGCAGACTGGAGACCAGCCCGTCGACATGAGCACAACTAAAAGGTGAGACGGGGAAAGAGATCACAGGGTTTGATTGAGTCACTGAGCTGTTTTTGTGTATTGAACTCTCATAATATTAGCAGGGCTTCACAGCATCGGGGCTGAGAGCTCGTTGCTCATAAAGAACATAATTGTTGTTGCGTTTACATTATACTGTCAAAGCAATTAGTCTGTGAACAACACTGAACAAATGCTGTAAACACCTTACCTTAAACAGTTACATCTATTCCTGTACATCGAGTCTGAGGCCCACAATAAACACAATAAACCCTTTGTAAGTATTTCCAGCTGGCCAAAATGCACTATAACTTCCTTCCTAAATAGTTTATATCTGTGAGGGTATAAGATGCAAAGAATGGTAATGCTGCTGTACTTCTGTTTGGACATGCTTCACTGATGTTTGATCATCGTATGGGTCAAAGGGAGGGGATGTGAATGGTCGAGCAGGACTTCACACAAGCTGACAACTGAGGCAAAAATACTTATCTGCGTTTTTGAGTTTGCTTGAAAACTTCTTAAGGATTATTTATGTACCGCAGGCCCTGGATTTCACGCTTGCATGCACAGGTTGTGCGCAGAGACGTGTCTATTGGGAGTTTCGGGTTTCTCTCTCAACTTTTGCACCAGCGAAGTGGTCTGACGGGAGCCGTGCAGGAAGTCGCTGTGTGGTCGTTGGCAGCAGCAGCCTGCCCCCATTTTGAAAAGTTTTGAGGCTCCTGAGGCCCGGGCTCCATTTTCTCCACCACAGCAGCACCTGAACTCTGCCTCACGCTTCACACAAAATGAAGGCTACGTGTCACAAACTGGTTCCAACTGGCCGTTGCCATGGTTTCCACATTGGAAGGAGCCGTTAGAAGAAGGGGGGGGGGGGGTCACGTGACCACGCGACCACGCAGAGCAATGCCTGATGTGTCATGTGACGTGTTTGGTAGGCCTGATAGATGCACACTCTGTGATGTGATGGCAGTTAAAGTGGAACAGAGAGATGGATTCAGCTCAGAGTGTTTAGGGTGTCACCTTTGACCCCTGTTTCACCCACAGCGTGTGCTCACTCACTGCAAAGGTGAGAAAGCCTTATTGTTGTTAGTTTGCAGCAGACTCTGTTCGTGAAGGCCCGTTTTTGTAAAACCATCAATGAAATGTAACGCAAGCCCGCTTGCACACACGCTGGGAGAATGTGTTGAGTATGTTCATGTATAGAAAGAGTTACTCCCTTCTCTGCTGTGGTATTTTGGATGAATTTGAATAAACATCTTAATGTTTGAATACTCTTTTCCAGGCCTGTTGCCTATTTATAGCCCAGCTGTTTCGTTTACGTAGTTTAGATGACTCAGTGAACCCCACTGCAGCTAAAAATGACTAAATGACCAAATCCTATAGTCGGGTCAGTGGGAAGCTATGACTGGGGAGGCAGAGGCATGCAGAAACCCTGGACCTTACATAACCAAGCTGCTGTGTGTTGTTGTGATGCTTGCTTAAGCTCTTCTATATAGAGTATAGTAGCAGCCGTCACAAGCTAGTCCCTGTCATCTTGTCACAGAGGCCAAACCAGTCACGGCTCTGGGTCGCCACTAAGTTTTTGTTCGTGAAAGATGATGAAGCTCTTCATTTCGTCTCTGATGCCGCTCGTGTCTGACGTAGTTCATCATGTCGTGTGTGAGGAATGTAAACAGGAGGACTGGGGAGGAAAACAAATTGCTGCTTCAGCTCTATCTGAATCTAAATGACGCTAGAGATGTTCCGATACCAAGAAACATTTTCATGGTATCGGAACATCTTTCGTTTCGATTTTCTTTTTCGATGTATAGATATATATCTTTAGTTTTTATGGTATCTGAATATATATTTTGAATGTGACGCTAACGTTAACTGGCTCTCCTCATGCCGTTTACAACGTGTATTTGATGTTCAGAATGTAGCATTATCTGGGAAGAAACAGGATGCACAAGAGTGTTGAACCGCAGGTGTGTAGTACTAGTTTGCACATGTGCAGTACGGATCAGGTAGCGAGTGACACGTGTTGTTCCTGTGTAATGTAAATCATCAGATAAATGATATGACAATGTGATAGCAGGTTGGTGCAAAGAACCACATACTCGCTGATCCACTCTGCAGCATTTTGGGCTGTATCGAAACAGATCTAAATGAAACGTATCGAGGATGTACTTTCCAGAAAGTAGCAGTGCAAGGTATGAACGAGGTTTCATTGTGTTCTCAGCAGATGGGCAAAGTATACGACAGTACATGTTTGTTGCTGTTTGTGTTGTTATTGCTCAGTCTCACAATGTAAGTATAAATAACATGCTTATTTGCATATAGTTGACCTGGTTGAACCGAGCGTGCGGTCTCTGTTGAGGGGAGCTGTTGGACAGCTGTTGTGAGGAAGTCGAGGATAGCGGAGAAATGTGTCTGAAGACTGGAGCGTGCTAAAGTGTGAAGAAGTGAGTCAGTGAGTTGGAGTATAAAAGATGAACAAGTAAGCCAGGATGGGGGAGGGGGGTGCGTGTGTGCGTGTGCGTGTGTGTGCGTGTGTGTGCGTGTGTGTGCGTGTGTGTGCGTGCGTGTGTGTGTGTGTGTGTGTGTGTGTGTGAGAGAGAGAGAGAGAGAGAGAAAAGTAGTGACTGAGTGAGTGACTGAGTCGGAGAGAGAGAGAGGGAGTGTGTACACAATAGGTTGGCTCCTGGCCATGTATTCCCCTCCCCCCCTCACTGTCACCCTCTCCAGTGTCTCCAGCGGACCTCCGCTCTGCTCCGCTTGTGACTCTGGTGTCGGCAGCTGGGAGGGAGGGCCGAGTCGAGGCCCAGGCTGTGCCGATCCGGCTAGGCCCTAGGCCTCACCGCGGAGGCAGGGGAGGGGTGAGGCCCTGTCTGGGTGGTAAACTGGGCCTAAGCTGGAAGCCCTGAATCCTCACGCTCGACAGCGTCTGAACAATTATATAACTTGTTTGCATGCATAACTTTACATTATGACTTCTTGCATACCGTCATATATCACACTTCCTATCTTACCTCATCTTCCACCAGTTCGCCTCACAACTCCGATTTCTATTTTCTTACAACCCGACAGGATCCCCGCTGTGATGGAGGCAGATTCATTCCTCCGCCATGGTCCACGCGCTGTAAAATTACAGCCACCCGTTACTTCTAATCTCCACCCCTCCCCAGATTGATGCATACGTAGCTCGCCACTAGTCGCCCTTTGTTCTCCTGAGTCCTCAGGAAAAGCCACTTAACATTTTATCAAAGGCTTTAAGTCTTTTCCTCCTGTAAAAAAACAGAAATGCAGTTAATTTGCCCTTTTGTGTGCATGTGGTTGGTGACTGACTCTGCTGTGTCTGTTGGAAGGAAGAGAGCAGGATGTCGTTGACGCTACCTGGGTAGATAATGGGTGGTTGCGATCTTCCCCTTCCGCCATTACTCCATTATTGATCTCTTGGTTCTTGTCTTCTTGTGTGTCCCAGTACACATTTGCACTCCAACAGGGACGATGAAATCGTTATTAGATACTGCCATCTACTGGCTGTAAGACAAAACTACTAGTCGGTTGCAGTGTTGCATCTTGAACGATGAAACACATTCTCAATGTAGTCGTTTTCTCCCCTCAGTGACGTAAAGAGTGAGCGTCAGCCTCCGTCGCCGGATGATGTGATCGTGTTGTCAGACAATGAGTCGTCCAGTCCTCTCATGAACGGCCACTGCTTCTCGAAGACTGACACAGATAAACTTATGGTAAGAGAACTCCGTTTAGACTTTGCATACAACACACTGTCATTGTGGATATCTGCTAAAACTCCGATGGTGTCTATAGAAGAGTTCTCCTGAGGAGAGGGAGCGCATCATCAAAACGTTGAAAGAGGAACTGAGACTCCAAGAGGCCAAGCTGGTGCTGCTCAAGAAACTACGACAGAGCCAGATCCAGAAGGAGAGCACTGTGCAGAAGGTAAACACCCCAGAAGAGGAGAGTGTTGAGTGTTGAGTGTTGTTTTTGTTTTGTTGGAGCTGATAGATTCATCAGTGGGGAATTGTTGCGTCTGCTATTAATAAAACAAGACTGTCTTATTGTTTTCCAATGTACGTTATTAATGAAGACTTTTAAACATTCATTTCTTTCAAGTCCTTGCAACCTTTTGGACTAATGCTGTATCCTTTATGTCTAGTCGACTGGCTCTGTAGCTCCTCCTCCTCTGGTGCGAGGTAGCATCACATCAAGCAGGGGACCCCTCCAGGTAGTTGCTACATTTTGATAGATCCTCCTGCCACAACTCGTATTCTAGAGCCTGGAGTGATTATATGATGCAATTCTACGTTGTAGCTCGTACAAAGTCGAACGCCGAGCGACACAAGTGCAGAGTTGTTCTTTCTGAGGCTTTCCCATCAAGCTAAATCAAGTGCGTTTGTAGCTCAATGTTTAAAAGCTGTATATGTTGTGTTTACAGGTGACCGGTCGAAGCTCGGGCACGGTGATCCCTCCTCCTTTGGTGCGCGGTGGGCAACACATGCCGTCCAAACACAACTCTCAGATTGTCATGCCACCCCTGGTCAGAGGGGCCCAGGTGAGTGCGAGGGCATCTGAAGCCAGCCACATGTAAAGTGTACCCATCTGAAGAAGTTAAGATTTGAAGAGCTCTTTGTTGACCTCTTACTTTTGTCTTTTCCCATCAGCCCATTGCAGTGACTCCCCAGCAGATAGCCAGTCTACGCCAGCAGCAGCATCACCACAGCGGTTCAGGGCCCCCGCCACTCTTGCTGGCTCCCAGGGCTTCTGTGCCCAATGTCCAGATCCAGGGCCAGAGGATCATTCAGCAGGGACTCATCCGGGTGGCTAATGTGGCCAACAGTAACATCATGGTCAACATCCCTCAGGTGAACATACATGCATAACCCACTCATCTGGAGAGAGGTTTTCATAGGAAGCAATGGAAAATGTTCTTTTCATATCTACTCCAGCTACTCAATTGTAAGGCTGCTATGGTCAGAGTGGACAACATTCCGACTGGAGTTGGGGCTACCTCGGGCTCTACCGAATAGTTTGTAGCTTCATTCAAACTATTCAAACGTCGACATTCAAGTTTGTATTATTAATAACCACCGGCTTCCACCTTCTCTTCATCGCTCCGTCTCTCGAACACACACACAGCAAGAAACGCAGGGCTTTGTCCTTGACTCTGTAATTACCTCAGTCTAAAAGTCAAAATGTATTGAAAAGCCTTTTCAGCCTTTCAAAAACTATATTTAACTTTAGTCAAAAACAGTTTACTCTCCCACACACACTTGTGTTAACGGGGCGGTCTAGCAGCAATCTTAACAGCACTGCAAATGACATTTATTAAACAACAATAACACAAAATTAGATGTTTGCTGGCATGTTGTCCTTTTTTTGACAGGCCACAACAATGCGGTGAAGCAAAGAGAGAAAGAGAGCAAGAGACTGAATGTTCCACAAAATGCATAAACGCCGTTTCATAATTTAATGTCGATCTGTTATTGTGGACATGTGAGGATCATTATCGTGGTCAACCAATATCGTGTCGAACGTTTATCTTTTCATATCGGCTTCCTCATGTGAAGCCTCTGCCTCATGCGTTGTGTTGTGTTTTGTGTCCAGGCCTCTCCAACCAGCCTAAAAGGCTCTTCAGTGTCGCCCAACTCGAACATCAATGACTCCCCGGCCAGCCGGCAGGCGGCTGCTAAGCTAGCTCTGCGTAAGCAGCTGGAGAAGACGCTGCTGGAGATCCCTCCGCCTAAACCTCCCGCCCCAGAGTTCAACTTCCTGCCTTCAGCAGCCAATAATGAATTCATCTACTTGTTGGGGCTGGAGGAGGTGGTGCAAAAACTTCTGGAGATGCACGGCAGGGGTGGGTAGATCTTTCCACTTCGTTCGCTAGTTTGGAGATGTTGTAGTACAACATGGTATATTATACATGTTTACGTCTGGTCTAAAGCAGCGTTCTGTTTTCCGAATAGGTAATCTGGGCCCAGCTGCTGCCATTGCCAGCTCCATTCCCAAAGAGCCATACACCTGCGCCCAGTGTAAGACAGACTTTACCTCCCGCTGGAGAAAGGAGAAGGCTGGGACTATCCTCTGTGACCAATGCATGTCGTCCAATCAGAAGAAGGCCCTGAAGGCCGAGCACACCAACCGGCTGAAGGCGGCCTTCGTTAAGGCACTCCAACAGGAGCAGGAGATCGAGCAGCGTATCCTCCAGCAGGCGGCCTCCTCTTCCTCCAGTGTCTCCAAAACCTCCTCTCCTTCACTGTCCAAGAGTGAGGTGCTGGTGTCCCAGCAGTACAAGCATGTCAGGGCTGCTATGCAGCAGCACAGATCTGTGTCTGCCCACCACTCCCACAAGCAGGTCAGCATGGCCTCTTTAAAGTGTGTTAACGATAGGCCGACGCTGGTTTTAAAAGGTTTTAAAAAGCATTCACATGTTAATTGACACCCAGCACGTCTCTCTCCGCACAGAGTCACCTGTCGCACAACATCCAGTCAATGAGCTCTCGTGGTGTGACCCACTCGTTCACCTCCTCCTCGCAGCTGCAGAGTGCGATGGCGGCAGCGGCGCTGGGCAGCAGGGCGGGTAAGCATGCTGCAGGGCGCCCGCTGCATCAGGGCGCGAAGGTCAGCGCCGGCAGCAGCAACCAGGGCAACGTGGCTGCCTGGAGGAAGCAGGGCGGCGGCAACACAGGTAGATAAACTCCTTTTTGGTTTTAGAATGAATGTATCGTTGACATTTTCTCTTTTTGTATCCTTAAAATACATTTTCATCAGGTAATTAAAACCAGCTAAATATTTGTTGCTCAATGCCAACTTCTTCCTTTTCTCTTCGCCGTCTTACTGCACGAGTCATATTATACTTGATCGTAGAATAGATGTAAAACAGCTGGACCTCCACTACATTGACCCCTGATGTGTCTCCTCACAGGTGTGACTATGGCCTACGTGAACCCCAGCCTGTCTGCCCACAAGACCACCTCTGCTGTGGAGCGCCAGCGGGAGTACCTGCTGGACATGATTCCCTCCCGTTCTATCTCCCAAGCAGCCAACACATGGAAATAATGCAATCTCACTCCCTACTGACATCATAACTATTACCCCTCCTAATATCAATAACCGCCATTCTCATGATCACTCTAATCCCTTCTATGGACTTTGCCTCTGGCCCAAAATAATGCTGGGGAGAATCAGCCTAGTTTTTTTTTTGTTTTGTTTTTTTTGTCCCTTCAGCTCCTCCTCAGATATTTCTGCTACCACCATCTTTACCCGAGTCCTTCAAGTGGAGTTGTGCTGCGACAGCTCAGGCTCCTGAGATCCAGATCAAGGATTATGAACTTGGGAGGGTTGGGGTTTACATGGGCTTGTACAATTTTACAAACATCTCCGGCGATGTGGCCCCACCCTCCCTCCCTCCCTCCCTCCCTGTAAATTGGTTGAACCTCCGTGTTGCACCAAGACAAATGAACCCCAAGCTCCCCTGCCTCTGGATTAGGCTGGGGAAAAAAACCCAACATCATAATCACCAACTACACACATTAATATCTTCGCCTTACGTCCTACCCCTCTCCAGTCTGAGCCGCTCTGACTCAGGCCCGTGTGGCGGCCGAACCGAACTTAACTGAAGACCTCGCCACGGGGATTGTTGTTGAGCTTCAAGGACCATCCGCAAAACAATTACTGCTTCAGCTTTGCAAAAACAAAGAAAATAGAGAAGAAAAAAAAAAGGACTAAAAATGATCTATCTGCACACAGACTTCCTCTTCTCTCTGACCCACAGCGCGTCCAGCAGAGAAGATGATGTGTCAGATGGTTTTCTATGGCTGAATGTTAGGATTTTTTGTCTTTTCATCTGTAAGTCATATACTGTGTTTGGAATATTGTGCTCCCTGATACTTTGGAAGTGGCCTCTTGTCGAGGTCTGAATTTACAGGCTAATGTTACTGTTGAGGTGGTTTTACATCTGCTGGGTTCCATGTTGTGGCCTACTTTTAAATACTTTGTTTTTTCTAAGATAAAGAGGAAGAATAAAGATGAAGGTGTCACTAACTCATATAAAGACACGGAGCGGATGTTTGGAGGACTATTCGTATTGAATATTGTAAAAACAAAAAAAATGAAGAAAGAAAAAAAAAAAAAAACTTCCAAAGAACTAGTGGAGCCCAAATGGAATCCCTTCTGCTAGAAGGCGTCTAGTTTATTTGAACCCTCTGGATATAAATATCTGGTGTGGGGGTGTAAAGAGTGTCATATTATTGACATTGTTTTTGCTTTTAGTCATAGATTGTGGTGCATTACTTTTCTTCTGTAGACAAACTGTCTCTGGGTTTATTTATAGGGTCATGTTAGTAAAGATATACGCTTATGCCCTAAGTGTGAATGGATCACCAGTTAAACTCCCTCGTGCGTCCAGTGGCTCCCACTCACCTTACGATTGGTCTTACAGAAGCTGGACAGCTTTCAGAATGTAGTTATGCAAAAACCCCTATAGCAACAAATGACATGAAACTTCTTAGTCTTTAACATTAAGGTGTGTACGGTCTATGTCAGGTCCTTGGATTGAGCTATCTATGCCTTTCACATGAGCATTTTTATCAGGTTGCAGCAGCACAGGATAAGCTACATTAAACAGGGGAATCCTAACTGCTCATGGAGTTATTTTATTAACAACGTGCTGTGTTTAGTTTCTGTCACTGGGGTGGTCCACCTTTCTTAAACCCTACCACTCAGACATGTCTGATGCAAAGTGTCACATTAGAAGAAGAAAGAAACATCGACGTGTTGAGTTTAAGCAGTAAAAAGAGGGTAAAATGTTCTGGATACAAGCAATGTGTAAAAAAACAACCATTTGACAGAAGATTCTGACCATCCCAGCAGTTATTTCCCCTCACTATCCTGTATCTGTTCATCATTTTCACATTGAAACAATAGTGATGATGATCTCGTCACTTTGTAATTACAAACCTGGAGTCTTGCTGCCCTGTTTGCCTCACTTTTGATTTCACAACTCGTCCGTCATGTGATAATCTGACGGATCTGTGTCCTGTAATCCAGCGTGCACTCTTTAGCTCACCGTTCGTTATCCGGATCCACACTGAATGATGGTGGTGCACTGCGTTAGGTAACCGGGCACCAGCTGACGTTCACCCCTCGGTACCGGGGTGTCATCGCTGTACGTTTCGGGGTTTCATTTAGGACGGTGCAACAGTGCAGTACGTGCATTTGCTGATAGAAATACGAGCAGACGAAGTTTAATTTAAGATTGCTCAAGTTTTTTTTTTTTTTTTTTTGTATTTCAGTCTCGAAGTAGCAATCGGAAATCTTCCAGGTTGTCTGTACATTCCCCGACAGGCAGAAAATAGCCCCCCCGCTGGAACGAGCCCTTCGTTTTGTGCCCTGCTAAGTGTAACCCTGTGCTGTCCTGACTACTGCCTGCTGCTGTTTTGTCAACATTATCACCATTCCGTTTTGTTTGGGGTCGGGGCTCTGCTAAGACAATGCAGTGCGGCCCGAATGGGAAAAAAAAAAAATAACGATGTATGAGAAGTGTTTGTTTTTGGATTTTTTTTCTGCTCTATCAAATAATAATAAAACTAATTTTAACCCCTCTGTCATGGTTGGGTTGCCTGTTCATTCATAATATTTAAAGGGGCGATGTGTAATGTGTGCACATGCTCCGAACAAGTAGGGGGCAGCATTTCACCTCCACTGAAATATCGTACTATCCGTCCGATATGTCTTCTAAAGTCAGTTATAAAAAATAAAAAGCCATCTGCTAACTTAACAGCAGGGCAAGAACACGCCGACACTGAGACCTGGTCAAAGTAACGCTGCTATCTTACGATCTTCATGTGTGACGTCGGCCTTTATTGTGTTTTTGGTGCCACTAACCAGATGCTGTTCGGCCCGTGTATGTTTTGATAGTTTGTTTACTGGATTCAATCTAAAAGTATTTTCTGTTCTTCCTTCCCGCCAACAGGGAACTACATCGCCGGGAGGAGCGCGTGGGACCCCTCCAGGAGTAGAACCTTTAATTATCAGTTAGTCATCCAGCAGAACCCCAGCTAGAAGTCACAGCTCACTCTCCTCGAATAAGAGTCATTTTCTCATCTTTCTTTGGATTTAATCCAAAAAACTATGGAAAAGCACACAGACTCTGTACCTCGGGGCAGCTCCACATTTGGACAGAATGGATGCTACAAGACGGGACAAATTTAGTCATCATATAAGCAGAAAAGCGTTCGCTTATATAATGGGGCGTAGGACATTTTTGGGGGGCAAAACGATTAATCAACGAAAAAATATCCTGGTTTTCTTCCCTAAAGCTAGTCTTAAAGCTTTTAGTGTTCAACATAGAGACTTTTGCAGCGACAGTAGCTATTGCATGTCCTTTCTACTGGATTTCATAACGTCTGTAGCCTGTAACCTCCTGCTCACAAGCATCTGCATAGAATACGTGCGTGCACATAGGAAGCGGGATCCTTTCTAGCAGTTACATCACCAGCCTGTGAAGTCAAAAAATGAGAAAGAAAACCCTGCAGAGAAAATAACAGTTTTTAGCACCGACACTGATTTACTGTTAAATTATCTGACTGTAAAATCACAAGATGTCAAAACATTTCAACATTTTACACCCCCCCCCCCATGCACTGGATTAGCATAAAGGAACTTAATCATTCATCCATAACCCTTCAGACCTCGCAGCCTCTCTTCTGTGCAGAACATCACGGTTGAATGATTTGTTCACATATTCAAATGTATAATAAAGTACTACCCGCTAACCCATATGCACATCACGCCAGTAATAATCAGCTGACCTTTAGAATGCATTGAATAGCTAATCTGAAGGATCTTTAAACAGGAAGTAGGGACTGTTTAGAGGTGGAGCATGTGTGGGGTATGGAGGAACAATGACCAGTGATGCCTTCAATGTATAAATAGGGCATGTGAGCATTTATTTTACAGACTACAAAATGCAGTCATGATTAGTTTACAGACCACAGTACTGACTCTCCAGCTTTAATTGCAGCAGCAATGTATAACCCCTAGGTGGCTGGGTACGCCAACTTTTCATTCAACCTGTTAGTCTTCAGTAGCCCTCACAGGAATGAAAGGTTTATTTGTGTGATGTGGTGGAAAAACAAGACTTAGACCCTCATCTATATAATATAAGTCCTCGGACTTTGCTCTGGTAGTCGAGCTGCAGTAAAGAGATTTAATGGCGTCTGGTGGGAGGGAGAGAAAAAGGAGAGCGAGACTTTTATAGAAGACAGTGAGCTATTGTTTGTCACCACGACCCACTTATGAGCTCCATTCCTTGGCAGCCTGTGGTCCCTCCCCGTGATACTACTGTACATATGCCACCTCTGTGTCAAAGAGATACAGTAATGTACAGTTCAATAAGATGGACACTGTTTGGAGTGCTGTTTAAACTCTTCATGTTTTCCTCTCCTGCCCCCCCCCCCTCAAAATCCATACCATCAGCCTGCATGCATCAAAGCCCTTTGTGAGCTCACAGTGGTTCTGTTTCAGATCAGCCATCATCTGTGTGCTGGAGCAACAAAGTGCTGCTGTGAACCCACTCAGGTCCCGCAATAGTAAAATCTGTTTTACTGGGCTTCATTTACGTCCCACCACCAAATGAAAAGTGTCTCCTCACTCCGATGCTTGCTCTAGATTCTACATCAAGGGAGTGTTTTGCCACCAAGGAGTGTGTGTGTGTGCGTGTGTCTGTGACAATTTGAGGAGGGGGGCTATGATTGAGGCAGCCTGAGCCAATCAGCCGGCGAGCTCCGTGCCTCCTGAGTCTTAATTGGCTGGCTTTCCCCCCGGTGAGCGCAGCTGATACACAGAGCCAGCTGGTTTTATTAGAGAATGATCCGGGGCCACAGTGGGAGAGAGCGAGACAATCATATAGAGGCATTAATCAGAGTGTGTGAGTAGCAGCCAGTAATTACCTTCCAGCGTCTGACGCAATCAAGAGCCACAGAGGGAGGAAGTCTATTGACATTCTTCAGTCTGTTCGCAGGCAAAGAGGTAGCCAGTGCGCGCTTATCGAATCCGAGTCGGGGAGAAGGAGCGGAAAGTGTCTCTTTCTTTTGGAGCGGCGCAGCTCATCCGTCCCTCACATTTCACCGTGTGGGAGAAAAAGAAACCGAGAAACAACAACAACCAGATGGACAAGATGAACCACAGCTCGGCGGAAGCAGAGGCTGAGACCATAGAACCCCTGCGTTACCTCAGGTAGGCACCTCTCTGTTGCATGTCTCTCTCGTGGTCTCTCTCCTCCGATCCCGTTTGGTTCACCGATTTACCGGAGCGCTCTCAAATCGATGCACCGTGCAGGCGCGCGCGAGAGAGAGAGGGAGCCCGATATAACGGCGGGCAGAATTAGAGAGGAACGTTTTTCAGATTCATCCCGTTAGTCCCGAGAGAGAAGAAGTCTTCACATGAGACCATTAGAGTGCTTTCATCTGGCATTCTGTTTGAACCAGAGCACGCTTTTTAGAAGGGAAAACAGAGCACAGGGAGTAATAAGAGATATCTATTATTTAAGTTGACTTGTATGATGATGATAATGACAGTGCTGCCCCGCAAAGAAACTCCAACTCTGCTTGAATTTCCTTCGTTGCTCTTTTGCTCTCCACTGAAGCCTCAAATTGAATTACAGATGTGAGCTCTCATTGAATTAGGAGGGCTGTGTTTAATTTGGCATTATCAGGCCACATATTACGGACCAAGCCAATCATCTGATGGTTAAGTTTCTTTGTGGAGATGAGACGTGTAATCGGTTTGTGTGGTGCGCCGCCCGGCTCTCTGTGTGTAGCACCACTCTCACTCTCAGAGTGACGGGGACACAGAGAGCTGCTCTCAATGGGTTTGGTGTTTCCTGACCTTTTGGATGGTGAAATGCAGGTGAGCAGTTTTCTCCAAAATGTTGCACAGACACGCGCACACACATATACAGTCTACACACAAAACTGCACATGCAGATATTGGTTAAAGTGTTTGGATCCACTTAAAATCCAACAGTATGTGGCCCCTCTGGCATGCACACTAAGTCCACAGCCTTTGGTCATCATGATCAAACTTGTGACACCAAAAATATGCAGCTCAGATAACAACATGGAGATAGTATTTTATTTCAGCGATTAAGTCTTATGTGGGCATGTTGCCAATTTAAGGCAGAGCAAGCTCCACCAATGAGTGGTTTCATCGCAGATTTAGAATGTGTTGATCTGGTCGAAAATGACCCGTACTGTTGTGTTGAAATCATCCGAAACTGATCACCTGAAATTTAGGAAATTGGTCTAAAAATACTTTGTTGGTGATGTAAAAAGAAATATGCAAGTTGTAGCCAATGGACTGAAATAAACTGAGATGACTTTATTCCTTCAAGGAACCGTTTGCACAACCAAATGCCAGAAAATGTCCACTGATACATCAAATATATTCTAATATAGTTGGGATTTCACTTTGGGCAGCAGGCTCTTGCTATTATGCAAATAAGAAATCTGGAGTTGGATCTTGCCACTGTCTTATCACCCATCTTCTTCATCAATCTTCATGGACGATCCTCTTCCCTGTTTCATTGTAACGGTCAGTCCCTGTGCATTTGAGGGCTCTGAGGAGGAAGAGGACTGTTTGGGTGACAAGGCACCTTTTAAAACAGCAAGATGATAGCACTGACAAATTATATTTCAATATAATGTTTAACCGTTTATATCTATTCAAAAACGCAGTTCTGGTACAGTTCATGCTGTCAATAATTATTGAAAAAAATAAATGAATGTTTGTCTGCTTTTTTTTCAAAATTGATTTGCAATCATATTTAAAGACACGATTCTTGTAACTGTGGATTTATACAGAATTAGTTCATCAATTTTAATGTTTTTGTGTGTCTTTTTCACACACACACACACACACACACACACACACACACGCGCGCACACACAAAGTAAAGGGGCCCCGCAAGGAATATCTTGCAGGGTCCCCTGTTGTCTTGGGCCTGCACACAGACAGTAGTATGCATTTGTAACAAACCCTTTTAAAGAAAAATTGTTTTCTTTGTGTTTTGGTGAGATTACAGCGTGAATGCCTGAATGATTTGTGTCTCTGGGTAATTTACTATAAATGAGGTGTTTTGTCACTCAGGAGGAAACATCGCTGCTGCCTTTCTTCCTTTAGAGCACTTCAAATAGGATGATGCGCTTCAGATGGTTCATTCCTTTTCTGTTGAGCATTTATTTACACAAATCTCCCTGCGAGCCTGTGATTGATTTTACAATATAAACATGGTGCCTGAAGACCTTTTTATGCAGTATACTGTACTCGTGTTTCCATAGTGTCTCCATGTTATTGCCCTGTCAATCAGTGCATGCACCCACATATTAAATCTATTCTGGGAGCTATTTATTTTACGCTTCTCGATAACTTATGTAATTACGCTCTCTGCGCTAGCTGCATTTATACCGTTCTCTGTGTGTGTCGACATCTGAGGAGCTGAGGCTGGCGGATTAACCAGCACCCAAGAGGCTTGGTCCAGGTCCTCACATCTCTCAGATCTCTGCAGCTTGATTGGTGCTGGCTGGCAGTCGATTAAGGCAGTCAATTAAAGCCCCCATACACCACCACAGGGGTACCTGATTATGCAGCTGTCATCATCAGGGTCATATTTAGTTTTTTTGCAAACATGTGTGAACTTGCATGTCCCTCATGCTTTAAAATTATTCACTTTTTAAATTAAGCATGTGGTAATTTATTCAAAAATGATATGTGGATATTTATCGTAGCCAATCAAAAGCAACCAGACATGCAGCTGTTATGGCAATCTGTTAAAGCAAAAGATTTTGTGAAGAAAGTAAATTAGATAAGATAATTACTGTCTAGAACTGTAAGCTCTATGGAGAAAAAAAAAAAAAGCATCCACAGGAGATAATGACATTAGCCCGGAGACGGTGTGATAAAGCTGCTCAATGATCTGATATGTTTATATCGTGGCAAGCTGCAGAAACCTATTAAGTTAATGCATGAAAACCCTAAAACGTGACAAACCTGCTGCCTTATTGTGATGGTGGTTGTGACTCCCAGAAAAAACCCAAACACATTAAACAAACGCATAATACACCCAGTAATTCTTAAAAATGTGAAATGAATCCACATCTGGATTAAAAATGAATTACAACACAGCCTTGCAAACACGTTGGCAGAATGTAGAACTTAGACCGACGTCAACGCGCAGGTAGTGTGAAGCTTCTCAGCCGACGAGACACAACGAGGTGGTGGATAACCCGTAAATAACACGAGCTGCTGATGACTGCACCTTGGTTCTGGAACGGTATCTAATTTCTTCACTTGGTAAAACGTACAAGGCAAATGTTGGGCTTGTGTGATTTATTTGGGCGTATAAAAAGCTTGCACCTCTAATTCTAACAGGGCAGTGCTCCTTTTCTACATCTCTAGTTGTTCTGTTTCATCTACTGTCAAATAATATCCTCCAACCAGCAGGAGAGAACTTTAAATATATTTGTACAAAAGCCTGTTTTCAAAGCAACTTTGAATTTAGAAACTGCACTCGGTGGCAATTTTCTTCCAGGAGTGAACGCTGCCAGCACAAGTTGTCACATTGGTTTGAATCAAAGCAATTCAACTTGATTATATCTACGATGCTCTGGTGCTTGAGACACTTTTCTCCTCCTGGATTTTTCTCGAGTGACTTCTCCTCTTCCTCCTCCTCTCTGCTCTGACGGTGATGAATGTTCTGTCTTCCTCGCCCACCTTTGCCCCTTTGCCCACCACACCTGAAGCCAGTCGTACAGAGATATTTCCGTCTGTCTTTCCATTTGCTGTTCTGCCTACCTGTCTGTCTGAGTCAAGCTGTCAAGATGTCTGACTTTACCTGCTCTTCCTTAGTGCCTCTTTCCTACCATGGCAACGACTCATATTGTGGCTTATCATTATTCTTTTTGGCTTGCCTCCCTCCCTCCTTTCAGCTCCCTGCCACCAATTCCCATGTTGGAAGCACCATTTGCCTGTGTGACAGCTCCGGCATTTATTTATAGGCCGACTGTAATGATTGGGGCAGAGAGGGAGAATAGAAGGCGGGGGGAGATGATTTGCTACCAGTGCAGTGTTCGGACATCATTGTCCTCTTCCATCAGTCAGATTAGCTGTAAGAGCTCTTCATTTACCATGTTTGAAGAATGAGCAGGATGAGGTCTGATGGTTGGTTTCAGATGAATCATGAGATCGACAGTAAGCCCGCTGTTTCTGATCGTTGCTTCATAAGTAGCATAAGAAGTCTTGCATGGCTGCTACGTGTGAGCTAACAGAATTAAAGAAGCAGCCAGATTGCTCCAAATGCATTCATACAAAATGATTTAGTTACTGCGAGTACCTAGATTGAGGTTGGAGTTAGATTATGGCACTTTTATGGTTTACAGAAACCGCAGTTCTCTGGTAGTAACAAGGCTACGGGTCCAGCCATGTTAGCAGCTCTGTGAGGCTACATGCTAACGTCAACAAGCTCCCAACGACAACATGCTGATGTTTGGCAAATATAAAGTGTACCAAATTCAACATCTTATCTTCGGGTGTTAGCATGCTAATGTTCGTAATACTGAACACAAACTACAGCTTAGGCTGATGTAAATGCCATTTGTTTTGCAGATATTTGTTGTTAACATATTTCCGTCTGGAGCAAAATGCTCGACCAACCCACCAACATTGCCATAGAGTCACACAAGTGGCCGTGCTAGTGGCTCCGTGAGGCCGTACTTTGGCACAACGGTGATTTTAGCTAAATGCTAACATCTGCATGCAGTATGTAAAATAAATCTGTATTTACATAATTTATTCTGCACAGGAGTTAATGTATTTACAGCAGCTGATGGGAAATGCATAATGAGACAAAAGCAGGGCCTTGGTGTATAATTGATGAATTCATCAATTATTTTGTTGTTTTGTTTGTTTTTGTATAATATTGTATATTAAGATGATCATACGTGATAAACATTAAGTTCGTTATTTAAGTAATTGAAGTCATAAAAAATGTACTTCTGCCTACTCCTTTTCAAACATAATATGTATTTAGTTATAATTCACTGTATTGGTTATACTTGTATCTGTCTAATGAATTTAATCTGAGGTTTGAGCTCTCTTTCACTTGGGGTTTGACAGCTCGTGCTTTAATCTGCTTGACCACCCGAAAGCAGAGAGCCCTGTTCGTTCAGGTTTAAATTAGT